CGACTCTTCTTGGCCTGTGGAGAGTTCCTGCGATCATGCCATGTGATTTTCTTTGACAGGAAACAGCCCCCTTCTCGGCTGACCAGACGCGTTTTAAGACTGAGGCCGAGGCCGCGTGTGTCCTCTCTGACCAGGCGGGGGGACGTCTGGGTCAGCCTGGAGCGGCTGCGGGGGACACGCGTGGGCATGGGCAGGGCTGCCCCCTGCGACCCTGGGGCCCGGGCCCCGCAGGCCCCTCGGGAGCTGGGCCGGGACGGTGTAGGCGGGACGCCAGGTGCCCGGCAGCTCCGGCCTTTGTCGCCACGTCTCCTTTCTGTCCCTGCAGTGCCTTTGACTTGGTGAACATCCATCTTTTCCATGACGCTTCCAATTTGGTCGCTTGGGAGACAAGCCCGTCCGTGTACTCGGGGATCCGGCACAAGGCTCTGGGCTACGTGCTCGACAGGTGGGTGCTGAGCGTGCGGCCCTCCCTCCCCGCCTCCTCCAGGGCTCATGGCCGCTGCTTTTCAGCTGCTTTTCCTCCTCTGTTCTTTCCTATTTACCAAAACACAAAACTTGCCAACGTTGACCCGAATCCCGCCCCCTGTCCCAAGGCTTGAGCGGTCCCCGCGAGATGGACCGGAAGGTGGGTGGCCTCACTTTCTCTCCTGTGTTGTGGGGGAGAGGAGAAAACGTGCCCAGGGCTGTGGCCCCACGGAGGTGTCCGCTGAAGCGTTGACGGCCTCCCGAAGGCTCAGAGACGCTGCCGTGTGGGTTCCACCCGCCACAGACGGCACGCCCGCCTTCCCGTGGCCCCAGCCCTCTCGCCATCCTGGTGTCGCCGGGCTCGGGCTCCGGGCACCTGGGAGCGGCCCAGGCTGCACAGGCTCGGCTCCCCCGGCTCCGCCTCCCCGCAGCCAGGTCCTGCTTCCCGGGGCCGGGGGCCACGCGCCCGGGGGGGTGGGGCTCAGGGGTCTTCCGGGGTGTGCCCCTCCTGCCTGGGCTTCCGCCTGCCTCCGTCACTCCGGCTGTTCGGCGCTCCCCTCAAGGCTGCTTTTCAGGACCTTCCCACCCCGGGCCCCGTGAGGCCCACCGCCTGTCCCCGACCCTGCCGCGTGTGACCTTCCGCGGGGTCAGGGCCGGTAGGCGTCTGGGAGGGAAAGGCAGCTCCCCGCACCCTGATTAACGGGTTGCGTTTAGTCTCGGCCTGGCGCCCCTCTAGGTTTACAGACAGACCTTGGCTGAGGCTCAGCGTTGCAGTGTGAGTGCGTGCACGGGGCTGTCAGGGTCTGCCCAGGCCTCGGATGGAAGTCCTCCCTGACCAGCTTCTGTGTCCTGAGTGACGTCAGTGACCCTCCCGGGCCTGGGGGAGCAGTCGCTACCAGACAGGGTCTCCCCGTTTCTGCCCAGGCGAACTCAGATTTCCCCGGGGCCCTGCCACACCCCACCTCTGCCCCTGTGCCGCATCTGCATAAATGTGCCAAGGGCTTAGACTCTGACGTTTGACCCTTCCCACGGGCACCCGGCCTGGCCCTGGCCTGAATGGGGCCTCACCCCCACGTGCATGATCCTTCTGGATTCCTCATGGGGTTCCGCAGGGATGCGCTCTGGACCGGGAGTTGGAAGGTGTGGGACGGTGGCCATCACCTTAAGGGACCTCGAGAGCAGGGTTCATGCCCTGTCTGGGCACCCTGGTTCCTGCTGCCGCCTGCCAGGGACACACATAGGAGCTGTGAGTGTAGGACACCGGGGTCTGGTTCTCCTGCTATAGCTGATGCACACGGAGGGCCTGGCTCTCAGCCCAGAACAGGTTCTGTGCTGGCTGCTCTTGGGGGTCTCAATGGCCTCCCGGGCTCAGGCTGAGCCGGGAGCAGAGAAGGGACTGACCCGGGCTGACGGACCGGTGGAGAGGGCCTGAGCCAGCCTGAGCTCTGGGCACACCGAGTGGGTCTGGGCCCTGTACCCCCGCATGGTGGCCCGTCCCGTGGCCACTCACAGTGGGCCTCCCCCTCCCCTGTTTTCAGCCAAGCCCGCTCTGGAGAGCCCCCGATGTGCAGGCCTCAGCAGTGCCCCATCTGAGGCCCTGGGTTGCTGAGAACACCAGCACCGCTCGAGCAGGTTGAAACACTCAGGTGGGCGCTGACCCGCCAGCACCTGGCCCGGAAGGCCATCTGGTCCTAGGAGGCAGGACAGGGACGTGCAGGTACATCAGATGCACAAGAGCAGCCCTCTGGGCAGGGGTCACCTTGAAGGAGCCGTGGCCTGGCGCCCCCCACCGAGCCGCTTGGCTGGGGTGCTGCGGACGGGACAGCGAGCCCGCGGCCTGGGAGCAAGGACCTGGTCCAAGGTGCAGCCACGTGCGGGTCTTCCGGCCTGATGGTTCCGTGTCGGCTGCGCCCGCTCCCTGGGGCCTCCCGCGGAGCCTGGGGGCCAAGACAGAGGTCTCGGTGACAGTAGTCGGGTTGGTTGTCGGTGGGGTAGGGCATTAAAACATGTCCTTGCCCCAAACTGCTGTTCCTTCGCGGCCTGCGGGAAAGCAGCCTCTGGGTTCCGGGGCACTTTTCTGAAACTTTGCATTCCCATGAATGGCTTCTGTGGGGCGCGCAGCCAGCCGCAGATCCGGGCCTCCGCGGCGCAGGGCCGGGCCGCCCGGCACAAAGGGCGGCTCTGTAGGAGCGGTGAGTGACGGGCCGGCCTTTCATCGCGCGGCTAACCTTTTGGCGGCCACCAGCAGACTGCATTCTGCTCTGCCGGTGGGGAGGACAATGCCACCAACAGTGCCCCATTCACGGCGTTGGGAACCTCCGGGAGCATTGTCCGCCGTGCTCCGGGGACGCAGGGGGACGGCCAGGAGGCTCCTGAGAGGGGAGCCTGCCTTCTCCTGGCTTGGTCTCCCCGTAGCGTTGCACCCAGGAGCGGTGGCACATGCGCCTGGCGTCCCGTCCCCGAGCGCTTGGCGGGGGGATCGCCGGGTGGCAACTCAGAGGCATTCAGTGCCGTGTGTGCGGATTTCCTGGAAATCGAAGATGATCCCAGAGTAAAACCTTACTCTCAAGAAAGGCGAGAGACAAAGTCTCTTTGTCTGAAGCGTGTGCCCCCCACAGCAGCGACGGTGAGCGCCGTGGAGCGCCTCCGTGCAGCGCGGGGCAGTCTCGCGGACGCTGGTGCCCCCCGGGCCAACCTGGAAGGGGCTCCTGGAGGCGGCAGAAGATGGGTCCTCAGGGTTAATGGGGTGCAGCCCCTGGGGAACCCCGCGCTTTTGTCACAAGTAACGACCTCTGTGCTTCCTGCACGGCCCTTACTACCTCCTGCTTCCTGTGCGACTCTTGAGCGTTTTGCTTTTAATCTCACAGGAGGTTGGAGAAGACTGTCCGCTAGTCAGCGCGGTGTCCGTCTGAGGGGTGGGGAGCGGGCGGCGCGGGGGGGGCCCCCCTGTGCATCCTGGGGACCCCTTCTCCCGCGGGCACCTCCAGTCGACCGTGGGGACGGGCCTGCCCGCGTCCCAGACGTAGTTCGGCACCTGGGGAGCACCTCGGGGATTAAAGCAGAGCAGAGACCTCGGACGCTGTCCTTCAGAGCCGCCAGCACCGAAACTTCCTGACGTCCCCCCGAGCTCTCGGCCGTGAAATGAGATTTTTTTCCACAAGTGACAGGGCGCTTCTGTGTGTCCCCTTTGAGATGTGGCCTGGCCTAGTTCAACAGAAACATTTTACATTACAACTGTGAAATCCTGGCATAAAGCGCCCCGTTGTCCCCCCATTATTTTCTCACAAACACAGTCCATTGTCACGGCGCTGAAGTTAATTTGATCAACATTGGGACATTTAACTTTTATGTCCAGGCAAAAGAGCTGTTTCATGCTCATTTTGGGTATTCAAAGGAAATGATTGCCAGAAAAATAATGTTGCTGCGAACAATTGGGAGCAATTAGTTTCCCAGGGAGAGGCGATGTGATGCGCCCCGCCACACAGCTCCCCTTTGTGGCCTCCCGGGCGGCCATCAGTCAGCTGTCAGCCGCTCAAAGACCCTCCAACCTAAACGTTTCTCTTCAGGCCGTTCCCAGAACTCGCCTGGCTGCTCAGCGGGCAGAAGAAAAGCCACTGCGTCTCTAGGCAAAGGCGAGCAGGGCACTAAAGACGTGGGTCATCTGGGACGCTCCCTCCGCGCGGCCAGGCACCGCACGGCTTCTCGCGACCCTGTTTCTTGCTCCAAGTGCCCACGGGGAGCAGGCCGCGTCTGTCCTTCGGGACCGGAAACACGCCACTCAGGCGTCTGACGGCCTGGAGGCCGAGGCGGCCGTCGTCACGTGGGTGTGTCTGACACGGCGTGGCGTCCCGGGGCCGCACGCGGGGCGCCAGAACCCCGAGCCCCTCAGTCTGCGGGTCTGTGCCGCCGGCGCGTTCACGGCTCAGGCGGGGGCGCGCCCCGGGGCACTGTGAAGTCCAGTGGCCGTCCCGGCACCCCGAGCTCCCTACGCCCCACATCTCAGACGAGCGGTGGTGTGATCACAGCCTCTCTCGTCTTCCTGAGGACAGGCTCAAGCGTCCAGAAAAGCCGGGAAGACCCGACGACAGCGTGCGCCCTCCACTCGGCGTGCCCACGTCTGTGTTTCCGTGTTCGTCCTGTGTGTCCTTCTGTTTAGAAACGAAACGCGGGCACCCTTGAGCCTGCGTCGTTGTCCTGCTCCCACCCTCCTTTCCCGACACTCCTGTTGGCGCTGTCCCTCGTCCGTGTGTCCCGTTCGCACCCGTGTGCACCGTCCTGTGCTGCTGTCGTGCAGTGATGCGTGCAGGGGCGTGTGTGTGCGATCTGCCTTTTCCCGCGTGTAAGCGTCCGCAAGCCGCGTGTTCCGCGTGTCCCCATCTGCAGCCGGCCTCCGGCCTCATCCCGTGCGAGCCCTGACCGCCCCTGCTCGCCCACTGTCGTGTTGGCATTTGTCTTGTTGGCGTTCCGCTAACGGGACGATGTCGCGAGCTGTGGCCCGGCCGCTCTGCGCTCCGAGCGGGCCGCCTGGCCAGCACACGTGCTCACGCCGGCCGGGAGACGCGGCTGGTTTGCATTTCCACGTCGCATCCTGAGTTCGCCGGCAGCTCTCCAGGACTCTGGTTCTGGTGCAGAAAAGGCGCATTTAATGTCTTGATGCTATTTAAAGGGTGCGAAAATGAGAACTGCTGCGGGGGAGCTGAGAACGAGCCCCAGCCCCGTGCCCTCGAGTCGCGCCGCAACCACTCCAGCCGAACCCACGCGGGGGCCGAGGGTGCGTGTGCTGCCTGGGGCCCTCCAGCACCGACAGCAAGCTGCCCTCCGCCAGGGACGCTCCGAGGCCCCGGCACGCGCTTCCAACAGCCGGCAGGCCGCAGGGTGCCTACCGTGCCGGCCGCTGTCCCCCCAGTGCCGAGCCGCAGAGCTCCCCACCTCGGGCCCCTCGGGCAGCACGCCCTCAGGTTTCCAGGCCCCGACGCCCTG